TTTATTGAGATAGCGTGACTGCGATGAGAATTATGATAATGCGCGAATACTCTACTTCCTGTTAAACCCCCAGCTGGTTTATGTTTACTCGCGGAAAGCTCTCGCTGCTTGTCGTTTATATTCGGCGTACGTGTAGTTTTCTTTCTACATATATATTATTTTTCATATATTTCTACTCTTCTTCTATTACTTTATATATATAATATATATGTTATTTATTTCTCGATTAGGTGGCATGATTAATCATCATGTTTCGTCAAGTCATCATACTTCTTTTTATTATATTATATATTATAGAAAATGATTTGAAATAGATGAGAAAAGATGACGAATAGATTAATTTATGGATACGTCTCTATGTAGTTAATAAATCTGTTTTGGAATTTCTATACAGGGTATCCCAAAATTTGTTGACTACAATAGTAAGATAGTTCTCGATAAATTAAATAAAAAAGTTATATATTTATAAATTTCTATTTTAAGCTGTGTAATTCTTGAAGTAATAAGAGTTGAAATATGACCAATTAACATACAAACTATATTTAGATAGCCACATATCCATGAGTCGCGCGTGCGGTAGTATTAGTAAACATTGTGACTTGAACTTTTTGTACAATTGACGTCACTTCTACCTTTATTTTATTCATATAATGACCATTTCAAAAGTTTCATTAAATTTAAATTTTTTATTATATTCAATTTATTAATCGTTTTCTACATAACTATACTGTTAGAAATACTTCCTTTACATGTAAATGAAGCTCGTGGTTATGAACGAAATTAAAAGTAACGAATGATTTAACTGAAATCTAAATTACAGTAGTTACTTAAATGTAATGAACGTGTGCATTAAATTTCACAAAATTTTATGAAAAATACATTAAATTTCATAAAATTTCATGTACATGTACGTAAAAATACCTTTTAATTGTATAATAAATACATTAAATTTAGTGTAATGTCATGAAATTAAATTCAAATTGTGTAACTTAAAAGTACATTAAATTTCATGAAATTTTTAACAGCGTAAATTAAATGTTAATGAAATTCGAGAACATTTCTAACAGTGAGCTATGGATTTTATTGTAATTCTCGACTCTCTTTGGGATCTGAGTCACTCGGCCTTGTAATCAGCGTGAGCGATATTCTCATTATTTCCCAATTTGGAGCGTAAGAAACAACTCTTATAATTTTGTTCACTGAGGCTCGGAAGGAAATCGAAACGTTTGAATCATGTAAGAATACATTAAGTTATCATTTTGCGCTTCGATTACCGCTCGATTCTCATTCGTTTAATACATTTTCCTTTATTAATGAGCACTGACGAGGACGCTCTTCAGCGTTCACTAATACTTACAGATAACCTTACAGAAAAACTATTGTTTAAAATAAAAATTTACAAATAATTTTTTTTACTTAATTTTCCGAAAATTAAAATACTAAGAGCCTGTTGTTCCGGTTTCTTCAAATAAATTATGTGATAATTTACCTATTGGATAAACAAAAAAGTAAGAGCATAAGAGAGTAAGAGGGTAAGACAGTGAGCTGAAGTTTACCGAAAGTTGGAACAACCCAGCCTAAGTGGATTAAAATTAAAGTAAAATACCTTTTTAGTAAAATTAAAATTAAAATACCAAGTAAAATTAAAATACTATCTGACTATAGTATTTTGAGTTGTGTATTTTGGGACACCTTGTATAATGGCTGAAGAACAGACTCTTCCTTTCTCCCGAACAAAATTCTAAAACTCCTGGTGCAGTTCAAGGAGAGTTCCGACGATTAAACACATAGAATTACATGGATTTCGTTGTTCTTGTTTCAGAATCGGAAGTGACAGGATGTCAAGGCTATTACGCAGTAGATCGGGAACGGAATCGCCTCGTTCGTTAGACAACATGCGCAATCGTCAAGTTTCTAGTCCTATGAGAACGTCGGGAAGTGTAAGTCATGATTGTACGCTCAAACTTGATTTGTCTAAAGGGAATATTTTGCTGATATCGCATATCTTACTGACTATAGGTATCATCCTCGTGCGTCGATTCCGGTGACGAGGCCAGCCTCAGGATAGACCGCGGCACGTATCAGTACATGTTCCAGGACATCGTCTCCATAAAGACGATGCTCCTGAAGCTCAAACGAGTTCTTCAGGAGGTACGACAGAAGCATAACACACGCTTGCATTTTACCTCGCCAAAAATTGTGCACGTCACATGTCACATCGCTTTTTGCGATCGTTCCCGTAAATATGTTTCACGCGTTTTAAGTGCGGTGCCGAAGCGACTTGAGTTTTAGCTCGAGGCCCGCCTTCGGTTTCCACCGTACACACGTTGTCAACCACAAGCATTTTATTCCGTTATCCATGTACACGGTTGCGTTTATGTTTTTACCTATTTTTATTAACACGATCTTTTTTATTTTTCATTTTTGTCGTCGTCCTTCCTGATTTTGCGTCTCAAGTCAGGAGAGAACGATTTGACGAGGGTACGTTGTATTGATTTTCTTTGCACATTTATTAATTTACGTCACCTTATTTATATGCATGTTTGTGTATTTATTTAATTACAATATATCACGTATAATATAAATTTTTTATAATATATTATATACTTTTACTTACACGGAACCGAGTAAAAATTATACGTTTGAAAGTTGCAATTATACAAAAGAAAGCAGTATATGAAATTGTAATTAGAAGAAGATATGTGAAAGTTATAATTGCAAGAAGTAGACTTACTCGAATTCTACTATTTTACTCGGTTCCGGTAGTAAATTATGAAAATTATCGCCAACGCTAAAAATAAATTTACCGTGTACTAATATCTGATATTGATTTTTAGACAGAAACTCTCAACCCATTCGATAATCCGAAGGTGAGTAGTTATACCTTCTATAAAAAAAGTGCTCAGAAAATAGATCTAAAAATAACTTAGACTTTCTTTTTTAATCCTGCTTAATTGAGGTTGACGTTAAGTTAAATTAGAAATGACGTTGTCGGTATTATCGCAGAATGGCCTCTTCTGTAACCTGAACGAGGGTGGAAGTAACATGACTGACGTGAGCACTTCACCGGGAAGTGGTGGTAGTAGTATTGCGGACGAACTGGCGGATCTGAGAAGGCAGGTGGTGTTCCTTCAGGGTCAGGTGGAGGACCGAGATCGCACGATACAAGTGCGGGATCGTACCATCGAGCTACTTGAGGTAAATAACGAGGTAAATCCCACTCGCGATTAATTGTACCGCTCTGTACCGCGAAAAGCTCGTCCCAATGGAGGTCCAATCGGTAATCATCCTCAGAGCGCTCTTTATTATTAATCGAAGCGAATCGCATAGAAGTGATAATCGAATATTAACCTTCGCAGCTCCAGATGTCGAAGCTTCAAGAACCTAAGAATGGCGATACTCAAAGCTGTACTTTGTCTACACGCAATATCAACATCTCCTCTGGAGATACTTGTAACGCCGCTACTCAAACAGAGAAGGTATCGCTTCATCGAATCTTTCAATCCCTTTATCGTACTTCACACCGTTTTATCTTTGTATTGTTACGATCACAATAATCGCTTTTGCTTTGTGATTGCATTTCGTGATTCGTTACTATTAATGTTATCTTATCGTCGTCCCCTCGATTAAAAGGAAATTGTTTGATTGCGGCTTTAGACACGTCCAGTATCGGCGGGACCCTCGCTCCTACAGTCACTCCCACAGGATGGTGTCATGGGGCCTCTCGTTAGGTGAGAATTTATCCTTTATTAATAATTATTGTTACACGTTTAAGTTCTAATATTCATATACTCTTCATTAAACATATATTAGTTTTGTAAACAATTAATACCAATGATCGTTGAAAATTACATTTACGTGAATTATTCTTGTATCACTAACACAATCGCGTTTTCACTATCTTCTCTCATGTGTATCTTAAATAATAATGTTCTTTTTGCTGCTCTGGTCCCGCCCTTTGCTCGGGTGATTCCACGTGACGCAGCTTCAGGATCGGGAAGGTAGAGTGCGTCAGTCTGTGTGACTTGTTATTGGGATATGTACTCCTATCTGCATTTAACGCCCTGATATTCATGCATCTCTTTTATTTTCGTGCCACTTGTTTGACAATCCGTTATTAATAATTGCGTTCACATTTTGCATGAATCGAATAATTTGACTTCTCATTTGCTTCGCAATTTCCGATTGATTGATCAAGGCAAATTCTGTCAGAGTAAAATGATTGAATTTATTATAAACTGCTACATTTTGTTATAACAGCTTAACAAAAACATGATTATTTTATAAAATATAATAGCTTTATATATAAATTGTTATATTCTTATATTATATTTTATAGCAGTAACAACTATTCAAACGCCATAAAATTGTAACTTTTTGTTTTACTTTATCATTTTTCATGTTCAGCTTCATGTCATGTCTTCGATCAATATTTTTTTTCTTTGCGGAAGAAAATAATCAAGTGACTGCATTTTTATTGAAAGCCTAATGATCGAATAAATTCTAATCTTTGTAATTTAGAAAATATCTTTAACGATTTTTGAATGTAGAAAGATTCGAATGTAGATTATTGTACCGTTTACATTTGTAAAACTAACGTTTCTGGCATGTTGTAATAACATAGTCCGTTTTCGTTTTAATGTTAATGTAATAATTACACCTTGACATTCCCAATTTCTTGCGATAAAATACTGGATTTATAATTCGTAATGTTTCACGCTGCCTTGATTAGCCGTGTGCGGTAAGTTTTGAGTTCTTTTCATTCGATCAACTCAGAATTGTTACTTGAATCGAATTTTTGCGTTCACCATCTCCGCGATCTCTATTTCTCACAATAATAACTTCTCGATTGCAGTTGGAGTGACTCGTTGGACCGTCAGCGACCATCACTGCTCTCCGAGCTTAACTCCGCCGGGAGCCATCGCAAGCCAATCGAACGTTTACCTCATACGCTAAGACTCCGTCAGGAACAGACTCCGACACGTCGCATCAACGTGCATGCGAGAAGACACTCGTCGGAATGCGTGTCCGGCTCGCCCACCAAGCCGAAGAATTGCATAAAATCGCCATGCGATTTGAACGACACAGAACAACGTGACGCTAAGATAGAAGGAAACACTGTCAAGTCTCTCATTCCGACACCTAGAAAACTACGGCTTTAACGACACGCCGGTTATATCGATCTTTTTTGCGTATAGCAACGTTTCTTTTCGTTCCAGACGTCCGCATCCTCGAAGTACAGAAAATCTTTGAAAGGCATATTAATCTCCTTGCAAAATAAACATTTCGTGTGAATGATTTGTTCGTAAGGAGATCAGATATGTCTTTTAAAGGTTTTCTGTACTTCGGAAAGAATTTAATTTGTATATAGTTACTCAATCGCATTTTTGCCAGACGGTCTTCGACTGATTCGGACGTCCAAGTTATAAAATGATCTCGTTTTATCTGCTCGTAATTAGTTCTCTGCGCGACATGATGTTCTACGCGTTAACAATGATGTATGTATCATTTTATATTATGCGTCTTCTGATATAATTCGCCACAATATTTATGTAACGTGGTACAGAGAGTGTCGCGCGAAGCCATCTATTCCTGAGCGGATATTTCGGTGTGTAATTCGCGCCCGCGCGCGTTATGGGTACGGATACACTTTTAATATTAGTAAATTTCATTTCTTCACTTAAACGTAAATTTATCAAGCAAATTTTCTTTCTATAGTTAATTCGCTGTAATCAAACAAAAATTAGACGCAGTTTATCATTGTTAATAATGTCACAAAAAAGCGTTCGTATTGTATTTTATTTGTCGTCGTCGTTCAAAGATATCACAAATACGTTTGAATAATTTTGAGAAAGTTGCACGAATGTAACTTCGGTTTGTGGATATATCTTGTGACAAATAGACACGGATTACGATTATAATTAGTGAAGCCAGGGTATTATGTAAATTCCACAAGTAATTTTAATTTATTGTGTGCTTGGTATGTGCTTGGTGCTAGTAAGTTCGTATTCGATATTATAAGTAAATTCGTATATGATATTTAGATTCTCTTGTCTTTCGTGTAATCACATCGACAGCACGAATAAATCCAATTCGAATCTCCTAATGTTAAAAATTTAGTTTTTGAAATTCAAGATCGTAATGTAGTTCGAGTTATTCTTCCGATCTGTAATCTCACAGATTATATATAATTTTTATAGATTATATATTCTTCTAATAAGCTTGATAATTCAAACGATGTGTATTAAAAAAATATACATGTTTATACAGGGTGTCCCAAAAAGGTCGGGATACCTAAATATCTCGGGAAATATAAGTTTTACAGGAAAGTGTTTCAGACAAAAGTTATATGGTTTAAAAATATCTATTTATTGATCCTATCAGTTTGATCTTGAGTTGCGTAGCCAAGGTCAGGTCAAGGTTACATTGATTTTCTTAAATGAAACACCCTATTTTTGATTCAAGAATCTAATAGCTGATGTCGAGAGCTTTCCAAAACGCTATAATGAAATATTTTTTTATGAAGTACTTTTCAAGTTATAATGCTTCAAAGTTACAGTATCGCCGGCATTAGCATTACCCAAAATATTTAATTTTGGAAACTGGCCAGTCAAGGCGAGAGCAGTCGGTGGTCCGTGAATCTTGACCTTCAGTTAACACACGAACAAAAACATAACGTGTGGTATTACATATCTTGGGTAATGCTAGTGCCGGCGATACTGTAACTTTGAAGCATTATAACTTGAAAAGTACTTCATGAAAAAATATTTTATTGTAGCGTTTTGGAAAGCTCTCGACATCAGCTATTAGATTCTTAAATCAAAAATAGGGTGTTCCATTTAAGAAAATTAATGTAACCTTGACCTGACCTTGGCTACGCAACCCAAGGTCAAACTGATAGGATCAGTAAATAGATATTTTTAAACCATATAACTTTTGTCTGAAACACTTTTCTGTAAAACTTATATTTCCCGAGATATTTAGGTGTCCCGATCTTTTTGTATATAATCCTTTATTTTCTATTAAAAAGATAAATGATGACAATAATTATTACTGCAAAATATAAACACAAGCGCAATTTCGTAAGTGTTTTTTCGTTTGCATTGCATGATATTCTGCAGTATATTGTAGCAAAACATTTCATATAATTGAATAATATCTGGAGATTAACGAATGTCAGGAGAAACTAAATATCATATGATCATTGTATATTTATTTGTTCATACGTTTAATTTATATACTAATTATATTTAAAAATAAGAACGGAAGGAAAATGAGAATGAGAGTGAGAAGAAGAAAGAGAAATATATATATATAAATATATAAAATTTCATTAATTTTTTTAAGAAATATAAAATAAAATGTGGAGAATTAGGGAAATATTAGCTTTTCCGCAGAATTATCTTCGCAAGATGCAGTCAAATATTTATAGAATTATACCGAGTAGTTCAAATCCACTTACTATTAATAACGAATACAAATTCATAGATCTGATATTGGATAAATTAAATGGCAATTTTATTAATATTATCGATGAGCAATCGACATTGATGTTAATCGCCCGCCACGGCTACACCCCGGAAAGCGAGCCTGTGACTAATGCGAATGATTTTAAAAGCCAATTCTGTCGCATCGTATAAAAGTTATGATAAATAAAGAGCATACGTAACATAATGATTACACGTTTATTCTCTACATCCGACGACCGTTATTACTGATATTTTTATTTTCGCAAAAGTCATAATGCAAATCGACTTGCATATCGATAAGCGAACTTCTCTACGAATTCTGTCATTGTTTTAAAGTATACGTGTGTCGCTTTGACGTAGCGATATACACATTCTATACTTTCTCTCATAAATTTGATACGACTAAAACTATATTGTCAAACTGACGAGTATCAACAACGGATGTCGCTCTAATAATAATTCTGTTTATATACATAAGGACAATGTGTACATTCGCAGAGGTACGTGCCGATATTCGATAATATAGTTGACTGAGTCGCGTTGACTGAGTCGCGTGTTGCAGGAGACTAGTTTGTCTTACATTTGGGATGCGATGGGAGACCTAAGCGCTGTGCCGCAGAAGAAGAGTATGCGTATTTTTTCTATAATATACCTTTTTAACACAAAATGTGTTGTAAGTTCGTTCGCCGTCAATCGGAAACAATTCTAACAGTCGTAGATTATCTCCTGGAGCGTTTGGAACGGGGTCATATTTACACATGGGTCGGCACTCTCCTTTTGGCGATCAATCCCAGCGGCGAGATTACCACCGAGGACATTTACGATCTCTCACAAGCTCACGAGTATGACAATATATGCGATGTGAGCTGTAAGGAAGTGTCGCCTCACATATTCGCCGTGGCTGCCCGGGCGCACTACAGGATAGTTCAGGGTCTCGGAAAACCCAGCCAGGTAAATCCAACTGTCTGAAGATTCGAGCTGCAATCTTCTTTGTGCATTGAATTATCTTTTCCTATTTCTTCACACATAATTCAGAGTCGATACGAAATGATTCATATTACCAACAGAGAACCTTACAAAGAAAGAATAATCTTGTTGAAGTATTTAAAAATTTAGTCAGATGCAGATTTGAAAATAATTTTGTTGGACCATAAAAATAATTATGCGAGACACTTAAACGTTGATAACAATTCTGCAAATACTTTTAACATTCTGCAACCAGTTTAAGTGACTACATAATTATTTTGATGGTCCAAACAAAATTATTTTCAGATCTATATTTAGCTCTTTTAGACACTTCAGTAAAACCATTCTTTTCATGTAGTAAAAGTCCAAAACTGATACTGAGGAGTCTCTTGGTCTTTGTACTCGAATGAATCTTATTTCTGAACGAGAATCAACCAGATTGATTTTATTCATTTATTCCGTTTCTCTCTCTCTCCCTGTACATTTGTGAACGACGTTTCTTCGTAAAGGTGATAGTCCTAAATGGAGAAACCGGAACAGGAAAGACCTTCAATGCATGGAAGGCGCTGGAATTCCTGACCAGAAACTCACCCCCTGAAGCCCTCGAGACGCGAGATGTAGTTTGTGGTATCGTGCGGAGGATTTCGGTCGCCTGCCGTTTGATATCGGCCTTCACAACTGCGCCCACTGAAATAAACAAAGTTAGCTCGAGGCATGTGCAACTCGTATGGCTCGAGTACAAAATGGGTAGCATATGCGGAGCAACGATATCCTCCTACCTCCTGGAAAGGGACAGAGTCACGAAGGGCTGCTGTAATTTTCAGATTTTTAATCAGGTGAAGGAGACTTCAGCTAGAGCTGTGCGCATTTTTAAGAAATATAACTGTTAATCGAGCCTTTTGCTAAATTTCGCAAAACTGCACCTTAGATGATGAGCGCGGTAGGAAATGTAATATTCGCGGACTCCAAATTGTCGATGGATACGCGATACTTCATGATGAGCGACTTTCCGAATGAGGATTCTCCGAAAGTACAAGAGTTCTGCGACGATTTCCGTGAGACTACAAGAGCGATGGATATATTAGGGTTTACAGTGAGTCAGAAGAAGGACGTTTTCTTCATTCTCTCTCTGCTCATTCACATGAGTAACATACAGTTTGTGGAGGAGGACGATCGTTGCAAGATCGATACCAATGATCAACGTACGTAATCGATGGCAATTATATTAATTATTTCACGTGATACAAATCGCGATAGAAATCCATACAGTAAACCCATACTTTATACGAGAAACATCCTGGGAACGTCCTTAGAACGTTCAGAAGATACGTATGGAATTCCCAGGGAGCCATGGGAATTCTCCTTTCTTTTAGAGCCTAATTATTTTTTAAAATATTTATAGCAAACTGTTATATATACTTTTAATATTTTTAAAACGCTTTATCACAATTTTGATATTCCAAAAATATTTTTTAAATTTAAGACACTTCTAGATATAAAAAGATTCCATTATATTACTCTTCTTTTATGTTAATATAATTTTAAATCAAACGTTTGATGTGAATTACACATTTTAAATAATATTTCTTTAATGTAATAGTTTAAATAATAAAATTTGATATGCTATCTTATCATTTTGACCTAAAAAAAAGTTTCGCTTGCGGCAAAGCCAGTAAATCTCCTTGACAAATTTCTGGATTTCCGCGAATGTTGGAGGACATAGAAACGTTCTCTGAATGTCTTTAGGACATCTCTTGGAAGTCTGTATTGTATGGGAAACGCTTTTCATTGGTAATAAGCGGTGCGAGGGAAAAGCGAAAGTTCGACAGACATCATGCGATTTTCAGAATCTAGAGAAGCCTTGAAGAACACATGCAGGCTGGCTTGTATCAAAGAAGAGGACATCGCCGAATTGCTCACATCTACTTTAATAAACCCTCAAAACACCCGGCGTCGACACACCGTCTGCCGACGTAATCTCACCACGACAAATGCCTGTCGCTACCGATTGCACAGCATCATCCGCCATTTGTACGATCTTCTTTTCAGCTGGCTGATCAACTTCGTAAACAAAATCTTGTCCGCCCGTTTGTACAGCGAACGATTGGGTATTAAAGATATTTTCTTCCCTTACACTTTATAGAAATCTAATTTGATACTAAAATTACTTATTTTGAGTATTAAGGCCCAGTTTTACAACTGACGGTTAACTCTTAACCAAAGTTCAACTTATTTATTTACTTTTCGATTCTAGAATTGGAAAAAGATGACAAATAAGTTGAACCTCGGTTAAGAGTTAACCGTGAATTGTGAAACTGGGCCTAAAAGGGTTAAAAACTTATTTGGGTAAAATTCTGGGTGTGTCTCTGATCTTTATAAAGGCACTGAACAATGCCTTTAATGCTTAAAATAAGTAATTAATCACTATCTGCCAGTACATATTAAATTTTTATAAGGATTATCCGCTTTAAATTCTATAAGGAGTAACTGTTTTAAATGACAAAAGGCGATACATTATCCTATGAAAATGATTTTGCAAATATCAACCGATATTTTTCGCGTTTCAGGAATATTGGACATCTTCGGATTCGAATGCTTTGATTCAAACGGCATCGAGCAACTTTGCATTAATTTTATCAACGAAAGATTGCAGCAATATTTCGTAGAAAACTATCTGGTGTCCTGCCGGAACGATCTGCAAAAAGAGGGTCTCATCGACGATCAGAAATCGTTCCAAATTGTGCAATTGTACGAAGATCGCATAAGCACGATCGAAAAATATTTGTTTACTGCCATAAACGATGTAAATATCTTACAAATATTTAATAAATGATATCTATTAGTATGGAAGAGTTAGGCCCAGTTCCACAACTCACGGTTAACTCTTAACCGAGGTTCAATTTGTTTCTTATGTCTTTCCAATTCTAGAATTGGAAAGAGACAATGAATAAGTTGAACCTCGGTTAAGAGTTAACCGTGAGTTGTGGAACTGGGCCTAATGATGAACATTTTCGCGTCACAGATGTGTCTATCGACTGTTTCGAACAGCTCGTCCACATTAATACGCCAAGTGAATGCTAAAAACTGTCCTGCAACGAGACGATTTTTAAACGTAAGGAAAGAAAATTTTGTTATACAGCATTACTGTGGTACCGTACAATATTCCGCCTACGATCTGCTTTCCAAGAATACTGATAAGGTAAACCAATCATGATAAATAATAAAAAAAGTTTGTCGTTTTTTTATTACCAAATAAAATTTTTTAATTCCAACTTTTTAAAAGGAGAAAAACTTCTTTCCCATATATAAAAAAAGAGTACATTAGAAAAAGATTAAATGTAAGTTAAATCACAATTAAAATGAATCTACAGTAATAAAAACGAATATTAGAAATACATTTAAACATCCTTTAGCAGAACAGACAAAATATTAAGTCGATGTAGAAAATTTATATTCGTCTGATTACAATCGAAAACAAAATTTTGGTAAAATCGAAAATGCAATATATCCATTAAATTATAATTTAATAATTTAATGGATAATTTTACTTCGATTTTATCGAAATTTTGTTTTCAATTGCACTTGATAAATACAAATCTTCTGTATCAACTTAATACTTTACATGCTAAAGATCTTTAAATGTATCTGTAATGTTTCTCTATCACTGTAGATTAACTTTAATGTAACTTTTAATTTTTATAATTTAACTTTTCATCTTTTTCTATCTCTAAGAATTAGAAAAAAATAAAGAGTAAATTAAGTTGAGATAAAGGTAATTAGTAGAAATTTAAGTACATTCCGATTCCTACCTGAGTGCTCTCAAATTATTTATCCTTGTTTACATTCGATAAACAATAAAGAGGCCTATCCTTTTTAGCTGATAATCGATTATGTATTTTGAAAAAAGGTGAAAATTACAAAGATGAGCAAATTCGATAGGACATTTATAATTTTATTGCTCAACGTCTGGTGAATTTGCTCTCTTTTATAATTTACATCCCATTTTAAGATACACAATCGACCCCCTAAATTTCTTACACATTTCATTTTTTCCTTCCTTTTATCTCCACAGAGAAAAAAAGAGAAAATATGAACCGTGCAAGAAGTTCAGGTAAAAAGAACAGGCTTAGGCTGAGTTGTTCCACCTTTTGGTAAACTTCAGCTCACTATCTTACTCTCTTATGTTCTTAGCTACCTCTACATAATTCGCAAATCGCAATTTTATAAATATTCGTAATACGCAAAATATTAAAAATATATTAAGTTTCTTCAACCTGACTTAAATTAAAATGTCAACGCGCGCGCTGTCGCAATTCAATTCATGGGGTGCGGTTGATTTACATCTGCGTGTATCTTGCAGTGATACATTATTCTGTCAATTCTGCAACTGCGTTTGGAAACGACGTTTTGCGATTTGCGAATTATGTAGAGGTAGCTTTACTCTTTTACTCTTTTGCTTATCCAATAAGTTACCACATAGTTTATCTGAAAACGATACACGAGTAAATCTGAAACGATACACGAGTGGTACTCGAAATAAAATCTGAATATAGTCTAACGTGATAACGCATTTACAGATTCCGGACGAGATAACGATAACATTCAGCGTGAGTACGAACAAATTTCTACATTCGTTAATTACCAAAAATAATCCATCTCAAGTTAATGGGAAAGCGAAGAAGCCTACGATGCTTTCGAAGCTCCGATGTAACGTGGACTTATTAATACAAGAATTAAACAAATGTGACACGCATTACGTTCGCTGCATTAAGCCACAGTATAGTATTCAATAATAGCGCATAATCAAGTTTACTTTTTTATGTAATAAAAAATGCACCCTGCAGGCGACTTAACAGCCAAGAGTGGGATCGAGACAATCTTCGCAAGCAATTGGCTAATACGGGTGTCCTTGATGCGTTACCACTGGCCAGATGTAAATATTCGATTCATTTCATCTACTGGGATTTCTTCAAACGCTACAGTAGAAAACGCACAGGTAAAGATTCTAAAAAAACTTTGAGCCTATTTTATTAATTAATTACTTCTCCGTAGAAACCTGCAATAATTTACGTATAGCTTGCAAAAACATACTGGAGTCGTCCTCCCTGAACGACGATAATTCATCGGTGCATTACGGGAAACGTTTAATCTTTTTAAAAGAATCTATATTTCTGCGATTAGAGGCGGCTAGGAGGCGATACCGCGCCGAATGTGTCTGGAAGATCGAAAATTTTTGGTTGAAATATAGCAAGTATCTCTTTGCATGTATAAAAATTTACATCTTTGTAATTGTTCGTAATTTCAATCATAAAGGTGCAACGAAAACTCGATGTGCCGAGAAAGATTAATGGCCATTGTACAATAAGCCATTAGTCATAAATCAAAAGTTAGAAGTTGAAAATTGACCAATCACAGTCGTCAATTTCCAGCTTTTAACTTCTGATTTATGACTAATGGCTTATTGTAGAATGCGTGTAATGGCTTTTCTACAATAAGTCATTGCCTAAGCTTTTTAAGTCTTAAGAAATTGACGAATAATAGTCGATTATTTTCTTCATTCGAATCTTTCGAACTCTTTGATTAGTTATTTTCTTGCGGCTTAAGACTTGAAGCTTAGGTAATGGTTTATCATAGAAAACGGCCATAAAAGATAAGCAGTGTAAAATTAAAAATAGATAAATGTATATCACTACCCAACGAGAAATGACTCATCGAATTGATGTCGAATCGACAGCAAAATATGCAATATGTAAATTATGTCTACGTCAATTAAATGTTGAATCGACATCTAATTGAGTCATTTCTCACTGGATAAATATCGTTATACATCTGTTAATAATTTCCGATAAAGAAATTCGGAAGACCAATCATTAAGCCTGAGAGTCAATTATACAATGTAACTTTTTTCCTTAAAACAGAAACATGAAAAATGAAAATTTTGTAATGTACACACATACATACATAAAGTTTTTCATGTTTCTACTCTAGAGAAAAAGTTATATGCTCGATACCTGTTCGTGTTGCTTGCACTTTTTGCACTCACAGTCTCTACTTTTTTTATAGGCCTTAGCAGAAAGCTGACTTATAATCTTAAGACAGTGCAGTTTTATGACTTAGTTTTAAAGGCCCCTCGTTTATACATACTTTAAGATATAAGTCATAAGATAATTCTTGTCTCGTTATTAAAGACAAGATTTAAGTTATAAAACACTGTCTTAAAATTATAAGTCAGTTTTCTGCTAAGGCCTTATCTTTAACATGCGAATATATATATCTTGTTTTAAGTGCACAATAGTTTTGGGGATTTCAAGCAATGTGAACGGGTCTATCTCGTACGTCATAGGCTGCGTTCCACTTGACGCTCGCAACGCTCTTGGAATCATATTTCATCTTAGCTATTTATCAAGTGTTAAGATATAATTTCATGCTGGCAGTCAGCGATCATTTTTAGCGTCAAAACAGGCCACGTAATCAAAATTGATGAATATTAAGTCTCAGTTCCAATTTAAGAGTAATTCTAAGAATTAGAAAAGATAAACAAGGACAAATAATGCTTGCGAGAGTTGTGAATGCCAAGAGGAACACAGCCATAGAGATTACAATTAACAGAGAGGAAATGCAAACTAATTTATTCTACGGTCTTTGCGCAGAGAATTATACGCAATATATGGAAGAGAACATAACTGATGGTACTCGGGAAATTGTTAGCACCAATATCCAAAATGAATTAATTGAGGAATCTCAATCGGAACTCAAGACCGTCACGTCTATTTCAGGAATGAATTGCTGTGCAAAACAGCACGAATCGCAAAATATAAAAGAAACTTCAAAAAATACGGAAAATGATACTCAAGCGATCGTTAAAAAAAATTCGCGCGAGCAATCCCAATTCGAGAGATCCCTGTTAGAATACGAACGTATTATACCAGTACAAGATTGTCCACGTCTCATGTCTGGAAACTATTTAAAGATACTAACAACATTAGCAAAAAAAACTGCATATATATTGCATTGGCTGGATGGTGTGAATAAAGCAAATGACACAGAAGAAAATAAACCATCGATATTAGAACTGATACGAGAAGATTACAATAACGATCAATCAGACAGTAGCAATTGCTGCGAGGATATTCCATTACAAAACCATAAACCTTTAGATGATGATAAGTTTCATGTGCAAAATAAACGTGAGGAGAATCATGGATATTATAACAAGGCAAGTAGCATTAATAATATGATATATTGTACTTTACCTGTTTATATTCATGGAAAACTCTTATTTAGAAGGAAGATTTGTATATTATACAATGTGGTACTTTTAAGCTATTTTACAAAAATGGAGTTTTGAGCCGACGACGTCCAGCAAGGGTAAATATAGTATAAATTGGAACTGTGAAGAAAAATTACATAATTAAAAAATGTGCTTTATTATCTTCTTTTAGCTACCAATTAGAGTACATACTCGACTCAGGTGTCTACCCAACTCACATTATTTGGTACATACGGAGTTACCACAGGGTCTACAGGATTGTCTTTAAAAAGAATATTTGTACAAATATAATTCATAATATTTAGGAGAGTCCCCCTGAACTCTCTTTGCGCTAAACACATATATACATACAAATAATTATCTAATTTATATTGAGGTAAACAAAATTCATTTAATTTAAAAGATTTACATACAAACTTTCAAGAACTGTCTTCTTTTGTCTCGACTGACGTGAAGGATAGGAAATAGATTCGCGTTAGAAAATAAGAAAAGATTAACGACATGCTAGTAGAGACTGGCATGTAAAAATTATTAAAAAATAGAAGTTTCATGAAAGAAAATAACGAGAATCTCTTTAAATTTTAATTAATAAAAACGGTCTATATACAGCTATAACTAATTTAATACAAAACGAATAATTATATATGACAATACTCGTTGTACATGTAATACTAAAATGTTCGAATGAAGCTTATACATATCTTCATAGATTATAGAACAATTACAGACAAACATTTTCTAAGTTATAAAAGTTGTAGGGACCTTTCTTTTTATCTTTAATTACAAGTAATCTGCGCGATGCGACTAAAGCAAGAGTGGCTTGAAGGTCGCTTCTTAGAATTTGATAATTAGCTCTTAAACTGACACGTCTTAAGTTATTTTGTGGCACCGGACGGCCACCAGCGAACGCAAATCTGTAATCACGTTTAAATTATATAATAAAAATGTTACGCATTCATGTAACTATTAGCTTCATTAATTTTATGATACACACCTTATTTCTCGTCTCGGCCCTCTCAGGGTGGAATCTGGAAACGCCGTTTGTCGATCCCATAACATTCTGGTGTTAAGCAACGATCTGACTTCCACATACCTTATCTTGCTTTTAACGATGATAGGCAGTGTGCCAATTTTCTTATCTCTCCTTTCTCTTGCATTATCACGATTAGTAGGTATGTAAGGTAATAACGAGTCTCCATAATGCTCAATCAAAGGAGTGAGGTTTAAAGAACCTTGCGATTTCATAAGGGCACAAACAGCTAGCTATAATAATTACAAGAAAATTAATTAAAGAACCACATACCAAGGATTAGAATATAACGTTGATACTAACAGCTATTCGTTCCCAAATAACTGAACCAAACGAAGCGTAATAATATAAAATATTTTGTATGGAAAGTGTGTGCGCGGTGTCATGTTGGAAAAATATAAGAGGCTGAATGCTCGCTAACAATTCCACCGCCATTATCCTTTTTTTATAAAACTCAAAGTTTTCCATCTCACACTTTAAAAGAACATTCTCCAATGTTGGTATATACCTGTCCACAAATATTCGAAGAAGTTAGTTTCTTATGAAATTATTTTACAAAATAAATACAAGATTTGTTTAAAAATTTCATATTACTTGTCGGCAATTGACGGCCAGCGAAGCATCAATTTCAGCACGCATTCTTTGAAAAACACCTCCAAATTTGGATGTATGAAACTTTGACCCAATAGTAATTCCAATAATAATTCTGTTAATTTATCCACCTTTAAATAAGCACAAAGATTTAAGATTCAAACGTTTTGAGTACAAATTTACAAAAGATGTACTATTATTTTGCAATTAATTACCGAAATTAAGTGATAAGGATAAACAGCTTCGCTGTTACTGGCAATGGCAATTATGAGTTGACACGTCCGTGTAGAAACACGTGTATATTGTGCATTATTTGAGATTACCATAGATCTAGCAATGGACATCAATTTATCAATGACTCCCTCGTCGCCTAAATTAACGTTGGTGGCACAATCATTAAGTAAAACCTGGAAATATAAAAAATAATGTTGCATTTATTTCATGATAATAATATTAAAAAGTAATTTATATGTACATGTTTTTGTATACCTGAAAGGTTTTTTGTGAACCATTAAACAAAGTTTTCAATGCACGTTTGGCATAATTATGACGTGCTTCTGTGAGTTTCAAATCACATATCTCAGATTCTAAAAAAAAAAAAAAAATTTTAACACAAATTAAAAAATTGAGAAACTAGCAGTAATTTAAAATTAAAATTATGTTTTATCAAATATAAATTAAGAGACTCATCATAAACATAAATTTTAAAAAAGAACTTGCCTTGCAGAAATGGCACATTAGTTTGCGTCAGGCACAACGGATCGTTCATTTGGTTAACGAGATTAACAATAGATTCGCTAGGCACATACACCTTTGCTTCTGTATGATACTCTGGTAAGGATTCTGGTGCACCAAAAACTGGATCAGCATCGCATAAGCTGGTGATTACTGTATTTACATCCATAGATGTTAGACGTTTTCTCTTACTATGTCTCAGTCTCGTAACACATTTCTGAAAATGAATATTTTATAGGGATGATCAACATTATAAATGTTAAACTATTAATCCTTTAAAATTCTATGTCTATCTGAACACATACACACACACACACTCTCTCTCTCTCTCTCTCTCTCTCTCTCTCTCTCAATATAATACTTTAAGGATAAAATTCTCGATCTTTGGTCATTGAGGAAAATTTAAATTGCAAAGGATTGAATAGGAATTATATATATATATTAAATAGGAATAGAATTAGATTAAAAATAGGAAGTGTATTGCATTTACATGTAAGACTTCTCTTAAACGATAGGAAGCATCTTCAGCTAATCTTTTTAACAGAGGATCTGGCAAGGGATGCATGCCCAGTTCCTCGCCGATAGCAGAGACCCATTCAGTGCTGAGCATAGCGTATCTCCTCGAATTATTATCGCTTGTAATACTACTGGTTCCTGCATCTCGATTATTATTGTTATTGACAAATGAGCTACTGTATCCCACAGCTTGATTCGATAACAGCTCTTTCATTTCTGCTTTTTTGTGTCCACGTCAAGTTCACGACTAGAGTCTGTCAAATTTATTATATGCGAATACCTTGACGAAGCCTTGGTCAACTATAAATATAGGCAAAAACAATGGTTGCAAATTATTTTTAGAGGTTAATATTTAGAATTCGCGAGAGAAGAAAAGTTAAAAGTTCAAAATATTCAACTTGAATGATTGTTGTACGTACATATATATACCTATTGATATATATTAATTTTATAACAATAACGTTCTTCTGAAGTACGAAATAATTATCTTGATAATATTTCCGTTATACTTTTTCGTGTCTAAATAAGATTATTTGAGGTTAGATAACAAAACAAGTGACTATAGGAGTGACATCTTTCTGCGATAATGAAAAAGAAAAAACAAAAAACCTGGAATTCACAATTATTCCAGTAGAGGGCTACTGTTTATCAACATTGCGTTCCAAAACTCATTGGAAAATTCCGTAGTGCGCGATTATTCCGGCAGAGGACCTTCCCTCTTCTCTTTTAACATTGGCTACGTTCAGCAGACTCAGCAGTTTTATGATTCGTCGCGCTGATTGGATCATACTTTTAGATTTAAAGGAATAGTCCTATCACAGCGAAGAATCACAAAACGGTTGCAAAACTGCTGAGTCTGCTGAACGCAGCCATTCATTCCTAAATTCATCACAAAACTCTCAAAAAAAAAGGCGGGAAACTCAGCAACACGTTGCTGGTAGCAAAAGGAATGCAAAAAACAAAATACAGAATTTACAGAGAATGACAGGTTGACGCAGGTTTATTATCATTATATACGTACAATGCTTTATGTTTGCGTATTATTGTATATAATACACAATTCTGTAAGTACGCAATTCTACAATTCATTGAAGATCATTTCTGTGTGAGATGTGTGTATAAAAACGTTATTCTTTCTTTTCAGGAGAAATGATAAAAGCATTTAAAGAGAGAGCAGAGACTTCATATCCCAAAAAATTTTAAGGGAAACACAGGAATGGAACCCCCGCAGGAATTTCCATTTCCCTTCCCAGCATACGAAATCCAGAAACGATTTATGAGAGAGCTTTATGCTTGCTTGGAAGGTGGTAAGCTGGGTCTCTTTGAAAGCCCCACAGGAACTGGAAAGTCCTTGTCTCTCATTTGTGGTGCGCTTAAGTGGTTGGTTGATCACGAGAGATGGAGGAAGGAAGAGTTAACTTCAACGATCGCTGAAATAGACAATAAATTAAAGAGCTGTGAGAAGCTATGTGATAATTGGTTTACTGTGCAGACGGAGCAAATAGAGCTTAATGCTGAGAAACAGCCGTTGCAAGCCAAGCTAAACGCACTTCTCGAGTATGAAGGCCAAAGGGAGAAGCTTAAAAAGATAATTGTTGAATCGAAGAGATCGAAAACAACTGGAAAAATGAGGCAGCAGCTCACCAAAAGAATTCCAGAGTCAGATAAGACAGAGGAAGTGAACCCTAATGTCTGTGATATCGAGAAGGATCTTATCTTGGAAGATGGATTGTCTAACTCGGAAAGTTCTGAGGAAGAAGACACGGATGAACCTTTATTTAAGAATACCAAAATCTTCTTCTGCTCCAGAACACATTCACAGTTGACACAGTTTGTCCATGAATTGAAAAGATCTCCCTATTCTCAAGAGATTTCTGTAGTACCACTCTCGTCGAGGTATCTCTTATTTATTTTTAATATTTCAATATATTATCTAGAGCTCTCTAAAATTTATTAACATTTTATTTCATTCTAGACAAAATTACTGCATCAACAAAAATGTCAAGAGATTGAAGCATATCAATCTGATTAATGAAACCTGCCTTCAGCTGCAAAGAAAAAAGACTACCGTTAAGAAAGAAAAAGATCTAAAGAGATCAAAAACTGCAAGCAGTTGCCCATTTATACCAGGTGATCAGAAACTTTTAATGGCTGAGGTTCTAACAAGTATTCAAGATATTGAGGAGATAACGCAGAAAGGACAGGAAAATAACACTTGTCCATATTATGGTTCAAGAAAGTCTCTGCAAAATGGACAATTAGTATTAGTACCATATAATTCTATTTTTCATAAGAACACCAGAACCAGTTTAGGGATAGACTTAAAAGGGAATATATTAATAATAGATGAAGCCCATAATTTACTGGACGCCATCGAAAGAATGCACAGTTCTGTAATTACTGGGAGAAATTTGCTTCACTGTTACAGTCAGCTGTCGCAATATCAGAAAAGGTATTGCTGCACTTCTTTCGATTGTTATTAAATTATTAGATAAATTTCTGACTGTAATATGATTGTAGATTTGAATCTTTGTTCTCTGCTAAAAGCGTGATGTATCTAGGCCAATTGAGTTTTTGCTTGAAGAAGCTTCTAACTCTCTTTAGAGCAACAACAAAATCTCATCCCAATGACGCGATCGATAAAACAATAGCACCCAAATTATA